TGAGGGGCCGGGGGGCGAGGCGGGAAACGGCGACTTCTGTCAGGAAACGGTCACCCTGGGGCCCCTCGGGCGAGGGCGGCCGGTGCTGGGGCATTTCCATTTCCCTGCCCTGTATGTGAGAGGCTGCGGGCTGCGAGACACTCGGTTTCGCTGCTTTCAGGCGTGTTGTTTTTCCTAGGCCGGGCGCAGCGGGCGCGCAGCCCCGCGTTCCAGACCAAAGGGCTGGCGAAACGCTCCGCAGATCCGGGTGCACCTCGGGGTGTGTGAGTGGCACCTGTGGCAAAGCCCAGCAGGGGAGGGGGGTGATGCAAACATGCCTCCCGCGAGGGGTGCCCGAAGTCATTCTGATCGGGTGGCGGTAAAAACAAACAAACAAACAAATAAATAATCATCGCACTTTGTTTGAATCTAGTGATGCAAGATACTGACGTTTCCATAGTACCTTAAAACTGCAACAGGATTCGTTTGTAACTGTGACCTTTTTTGTGCCATGCACCTGTTGGCAAACAGATGCTGTCTGTTCAGATGAAATAATGTTTCAGTGTTTCATGTTTGGGTGGTTTTCTTAACGCCTCTCTGCTATTTTTTTTCTTTGTTTCAGGGTAACCAGCCAAAGAAGTTATGAATACCCTCTGTGGTCAGAAGTTGCTGGGCAGGAACTGTATTTTCTTTCATTTGGCTTCTTTGACCAGGCATGGGAAGTGCACCAGTATCTGTAGGTCTTACACGGGATGTTGCCGAACTCGAGTCACTTGCACACAGTATAGAGGCCAGAGGCTGGATTTGAGTGGAAATACTAGAAACTGTTTTTGGACTGGAAGCCATGACTCCTGTAGAAATTTAATCTATAAAGGACTGAGAGGTCCTCTGAATGTCCCACATACAGAAGTGTACAAGAATGCACACCGCGACTGGGGAGGATTTTTCTTCCAGTCTCATCAGCCATTGGGAGAGAAGATCACATCCCTCCAGATCAGTTCAGTCAGGCAACTCCCACGTTGTTTTTCTGCTTGGAACATTCAGATCATCAGGTCTTTTCGCACATCACCATCATTTCAGGCTGCCCCAGCTGCTCTTCTCTGGATTATTGTTAAGCCAGCTCAGAAATTATTAGCTATCATTCTTGGCAGGTAAAATACTACCTTACTTCTTCACTCAGTGTAAGAAAGAGTCCATTATTCAAAGATGTGTACATGAGTTTGTGGGGAATAGTAGGTGTATTTGTAGTGGTTTTATTTTAGTTTCTCTGCAATATTTTATGGGACTGGGGGTTAGACTGACAGTTTGCTTGACAAGAAGTTATTGCCATTATTAGAGGTTTATCTTCTTGTTTACATGTGGTAGGGGGAGGTGAACCAAGACACTAAAGGGCATTCCATCTTCTGTGGGAGGGAAGAAATGGAATGAAGTAGAAGCCAATTACAGTATAATCTTCCATAAGCTCTTACATGAGGTGAGACTGTAATAAAGAAGACAGCAGGGGCAGACACTAACAAACCCCTTTTTAGCTATATCCCAAGTTGACACTGTTTGTATCTTACAGGAGCATAAGAAAGTGGTGGAAGACACTTCCTCCTAATAAGCGGGAAGTAATTAAAGAAAGTGCAAGGAAAAATAAGTGGAAGATACTCCTGGGTGTCAGTAGCTTAGGAGTTTTATTTGTTGTGTTTTATTTTACTCACTTGGAGGAGACACCCATCACTGGACGCCCTCGGCTGTTGGCATTTGGAAAAGAGCATTTTAGGGAACTATCACAGATGGAATATGATATGGTAAGATTTCGAAGAATAATTCTCAATAGTCACAAACTATTGTGGTGTCCTTTATAAGTTTTGAAATTAAAAGTTCCATTTTAATTTCATAAGGAAACCACTTGGGGGGCACATGACAGTTAAAGAGCACGTTGTGTGTATGTAGCAAACATTTCTAACCGCATTATTGTAATATGACAAGAAATATAAAAACCCTATAGAAGCAATGAAAGCATAACTAGTAGGTATATGCTGAGGTCTGTTCATTTTCTTTGCTGATTTGAGCATTCTTTGGCACTTGTTTATGGTCCTCTCTTCTAAGATATCACTTTCTAAGGTAATATTCTCCACCTACATCCAATTCTGCTTTTTTTTTAAAATTGGATCAGCTAATTTTTCTTTAATTGCTTTCTTTTAAACTTTCCACTGCACTAATTCTGTAGTTTTGGGTTCTGTGACTTTCTGTTCTAAACCCAGTGGAATTTGGTCAACTATGTTCAAAATGTATTCCTGTCTGACAGAGAATTTTAGATAAGAACAGAACAGGAGAAGTACAAGGATATATTTAACTTACATCTTTGGTATACATTTCTACATCTTACAAATTACAACAGAAATACACAGATACAGAAAAACTATAAATTCAGTTGGAAGCTTGGGAAGGAATTGAAAGGTGTGCCAGGTACAGGAGGCTGTAGGACCAAGTTTATACTATCTTATTTTTTATCTGTGGTCACTTCCTTTTAAGTTTATCAGGTTCTTAAATTGTGGGTCGGAAAGCCAGAACTCTAATATGTTTGCTTTAGCTATATGAAATAATAATGTATCGAAACTTAGATTTAGCTAAGTTGTGTGCAGCCACTAAATTAGTTTGGCAATTAGTAATTTTCTGTGCATTTGTTCTGCGTGGCATTCAATGCTTTTGTTTTGTTTTGTTTTTTTCAGTGGATGGAACAATTCAAAAGTAGCATGTTACCCGAGACAGATGCACTCCATCAGCTTGTGGAGACAGTTGTTGGTCATATATCTGAAAGCAATAAGGACATCCCACAGGTCTCAGCACTCCAGTGGGTTATCCATGTGGTAGATGAACCAGATGTAAATGCTTTTGTGTTGCCAGTAAGTAGAACCCAATGTAAAAATTATTAGTCATATGGAAACAGCATTTTAGTTACTTGCCTTCTAATGAATTTTCACTCTTTTGTTTACAGAATGGTCAAGTGTTTGTTTTCACTGGATTGCTAGATACAGTTTCTGATATTCATCAACTGTCTTTCATTTTGGGACATGAAATAGCTCATGCTGTATTAGGACATGCAGTAAGTATTTAAAGAAAGCTGTCTACAATTCTTAATTCTAATTACTTTAAGATTTCTCTTGACACTGCCAACTGAAGTTTCAGTTTAAGTCTCTCTAATTAATGAAAAATTGAGTTTGAAATGGAAGTATTCTAATGTAGTATATCCTTATTACTTATATGATGCTTAATAACTGTCAGAAGTCCTGCAGTAGTCAGTGTTAGCACAAAGTCTGCCAGTGCTTTTTTCATAGCTGTACAGATGGATTGTGGCTCAGTATTAGCAATCACTTAGAACTGGGTCTGGAGATGCCTCTCCTGTGGTGCAGGCATAAGGAACTAGAGGCACTCAGCAACTTTGTTTCTTACTTTTAGAGTCATTATTATTTGCAGAAGTGGATACACTTTCATAAATTATTCAAAAATACATGATATTTTTATTATAGTAGCACACAGTTTTAGAATGCCAAACTCCAGAGGTTGATCCTGCATTTATAGATGAATGCTTTCACAGACTTAATTTTTCCATCTCCTGACAGGGAAGTGTTGAAATCAGTAGTTCCTGCATTTGAACAGAATGGATGTAATAAATTTGTTGTGCTTTTTAGGTGAAACTATGAAAAAAGAGGATGGTACAGAAATATGCCTTATATTGTTCTAGATTGTGATTTGCTAGAAAATGCTTCTTAGCCTCCAAATTTATTGCTTTCTGTGCATGCCCTTTTAAGAAATTGTTTGAATTACCTATCCATCAGTTTGAGAAGACATGAGAAGCTTGTAAACATAAAGATCCTGCTAAATTTCAAAGCTTATATGGAAATGGGTAAATACATTATAAAGGCAGTGGAAATACAGGAAAATTGCTTTACTGCCTCTTGTATGATTTTGGATGAGAAGCAGTTGACATCATAGTTGCTTTGGCTCAGTTGAGCCAAGTATAAAAAAAAACATTCTATTAATAATGAGAATTTGCCTTGTCTGCAAGGTACTTGTGTCAGCCACCTTGCACAGAGAAAGCTTTGTAGGGTCTGGCTTGTGAATGCTCAGATCAATTTGTTGCACGACAAATAGAGCTTTAAAAAACAGCTTAATTTCAGTTTCTTTCTTCAGGATCTCTCAGTTCCTAGAATTCAAGCAATGCAACAGAAATTTAAATATAGATGTATTATGTCTAGTGTCCCCTTATCCCATTAGTGTTGCTGTCCAAATTATGTCTGTCTCTTCCAAAGTTAATGTAAGTCCTCTAGGTCTTTTTATGGATTTTTTCCTTCCAACTGAGGTGTTTCATGGCCTTTTTACTAAAGAACTCTGCCTGCATGCTGCCATTGTCTTGTCTCAAGCTCTGAATGTCTCAAACTGGGAGAAAGCCAAAATACTCTTTTTTTCCAGTTGTATTTCTGCAGTTAGTGTAGATTCTGGAGTGAAAGTGCCTTGTATCCAGTTGGGTGTTCTTGTGAAAGCAGGAGAGCTTGTGTTTGCCTTGTTCCTGTAGCTGTACAGAAAAAAAAAAAAAAAAAAAAAAAGGTAGTGATTGTTACAGTGTTTCCAAATACTATTAAGTTCTAAAGAAAAGTCAGGAAGTAAGGAATGCAAATGGGACTTTCTGTTTGCAGGCAGAGAAAGCCAGCCTGGTTCACTTCTTGGATTTTCTATCACTCATCTTTCTCATTATGATTTGGGCCATCTGTCCTCGTGATAGTTTGGCAGTTGTTGGCCAGTGGATTCAGAGCAAGTTGCAGGAGGTAAGACTGACATTTCCTATTATTCTTCTTGAGTGTCATGGAAAAAAATTTAGTCTTGGGGAGACAGTACCACTAAATAGTATGTTTGGGGAGAAAGGGAAGAGGAGAAATATGAGCAAAAATTAATATTTGAGTATGTTTTTTTAATTAAATATGGTTTTATAAGTCTGCATCTGCTTTGGGTGATACATATATTCATTTGTCCTTTCAAAGAACTTTAGATCTCCCTAAATAACTTGATTTAGCTGAACAGGATCCAAGTATCTGCTTGACAGTTAAGTTAGATGATTTCTTTTTGAAATGGAGCTTACCTGTTAAAGTTGCGTATGTTGAAAAGTCATGTTTTTATTTTGAGTAGTTGTTAAATTGTTTCTAAGCCAAATAAAATATATACAATTCTTTAAATACGTTGTTAGTGGTAAGAATACTTTCCAAGATAAGAAAATTGAAAATCTAAACACTCTTTTAGAGTATAAACCATGCTATGAGAAAGCTTACTGAAAGAATCTTACCAGACAGCATATTTTCCAATAAAGTAAATTTCAGAGGCTTTGTGGTGCCATTTATCATCAGCAGTCTACTGACTTTACTGAATTTACTCTCTGCTTCTGAACAGTTACTGATCCATTTCTTTTTTTACAAAGTGGGGTTTTTTAAAAGAAATTTTGCTTACATCATAAAACTTGAATCTGAATTGAAGTGAAAGAGTTCTTTATTTTCTTTGACTTCCCTTGATGCTTTTCCTGAGATTTCCCCTGGTTCCTCACAAACATAAAATTAAACATAACTGATCTGTTTTGGTGGTTCTTATGCTAACGGGTAGATGTGTGGATTCTGAACATAAATTATCTCTGAAGAGTTTGGATATTTATACATGTAGCTAAGAATCCAATATACTGATGAATACTAGCCAGCATTTTGAAGAGCTGATTTTGGAAAAAGCAAAGCGTGAATCAGTCCTGAGACTGCTCATAATTTAGACAGCAAAATTTCACTCCTGTCAGCATCTTTTTTCCTCTTCTAGGCTAACTGCAACTGAAATTTTGGCATGGTGGATTGGAGTTGTACTTTAGATTGCAAATGGAATCTGGGTTTAAGCTCATAGTTCTGGTGTGCTAAAGAAAAGTTATGTCATATAGGAGATACTCTGCATGGTTTAAAACTCTGATCTAACTCACATTCACTAACATGAAACATGCCTATATGTCATGCACACTAAATAAGTGATTAATACTTGCAAAGCTTTCATCCTGGTTGGTGAATAGAAATTTGTTTCTGTTAGTCACCCAGGAGTGCAGTGTCTGTTTGCCCTCCAATCAACATTTGCTGATTTTTCTTATGCTTCTTCCACAACTGTATTTACTTTAAAACATTTAAGCATCCCACTCAATGAAAGAGTTATTTAAGCACATAGCAGTACTTGCTTCTGTTGTGGTGTTTGCTTTTATGTCCTCAGAAACTTAACTTATTTACCCTACTGACTACTGTTTATTTTTATTATTGACTATATGTAGTTTCCAGTGACTCTTCACAGGCCTTTTGGCATGTTAGCTCCAGTTCTGCTTTTTTTCTCCAAAGCTACTAGTGGGTTTGCTTGTCTTTAGAAGTTGTTCAGTTTTCTTTTGTGGTTCAGCTGTGGCTGGTCTTTAGTCATGTATTTCTGAACTGAAATATGTTGACTTTGTTTATGTATTTCTGAACTGAAACATGTTGACTTTGTTTTTACAGCAGCAGTTAATTTACATGGGGACTAAGGCCTAGGAATTTTTCTGCATGACTCTTGAGTTTTTACTCATGTCCCACACACTAATATCATAGAATCATAGAAAACCAGGTTGGAAGGGACATCAGGGATCATCTGGTCCAGCCTTTCTTGGCAAAGCATTTATGTACAGATACAATACTTCATATTCCCTCTCTTGTCCACTTCCCACTATCAGATTTGTATTTCGTGTGGAAACTGGTGGTTTTGGATAGTCAACTATCTTGAACTTCCTTAAACATACACAGACAGCTCTGGTAAATTATTTGAAAAATCAAATCAGTCTTCTTTGTTTTGTCCAATTTCTGACAAAGATTTCAGATCAGAGTTTGAATACCTAATTTTTTAAATCCAGCACATTAACTAAAGATATTTTTTAAAATTCATTTTTCAGTAGCAGAAGACTAGTATTGTATGTTAGATGCCTCAAGACCCTCTTATGTGCCCACTGCTGAGGCTTTCTTGGCTAGAAGCACACTGTGAAAGAGAGCCCAGACTTTGCCAAGAGATTCAGATTATTTTGTAGTTTCAATTTTAGATCTGAAGAAAAAACATTAAATTCTCAAAAACTGTAGAGGACACATTTGTGTGTCTTTTGTCAATACAATTTGGATAGCGATCAGAACATAACAAATCTGGAACCCTACCATCAGATAAGCTGTATCTAACTTAAAATTCCTATATGGAATCACATCAGAGTCTCTTTAGGCTCATGTCTTGTCTGTGACTGGCAAGTAGCAGATACCCTAAGGA